CCAATCTACGAGTTTGGCCAAAGGGCAGTCTAAAGCACATCAGATCTCACTGGTATGATCTGGCATAGCTCTGAATTAATGCATGAGGTAAAGAAATAAATGTGTGTCTGCAGGGTTATCAAACAACTGTCACATTTCACCGCAGTCGTGTGACATTTTCCTGAGCTGCACTTGGAAAGCTTTTGGGATCCCTTTGAATGGGAGAGTTGTAAAAATAGGCCATTTATTTGAATTTTTGTTTTTCCTGAGGGAGTTATGCATGCAAATTCCAGGGAAGAACAGTTGTTTTGAGATTTAAACTTCTTTTGAAAGTTTTCTTTTTCATTTAAACTGGAATTTTATTTCGTTCCACTTCACTGTAATCCATGAGCTAGGTGACTTGAGCACTGGGAAAAGCGTTGTACATGCTTGTCTCATTCTCATTCTTCCCACATGCTGACAGCTGCTGCCAAAGAGGCAGCACTGAGCTATTTGGACCCTGTTCCAAACCACTGCAGCTGCTCTTACCTCACCTCTTTGTGCCAGTGGGACCTGCCTTTGCTGGCTCATAAAAAAAGCCTCATAAAATATTACTATGGTGCTATGGTTTGTGTCACAGCAGAGCACTGTGCAGCCAGGCATTGTGAAACAAGCTTGGTCTGAGGCAGCCCTGCCCATGGCAAACTGTTAACCTTGCAGCCACTGGCACTGGGGAAAAGCTTTTGCCTTCAAGAAGCTGGTGGCAACATTTGGCACTAATGGAGCTTTTTTGATTTATAAGCCCCATAGAATGCCAGAAGCAGAATTTCCCAGGTAAATCATCAGTTTGTTGAGTGTGCAGGGCTTGTTAAAAGACATAAATTTCAGTGTTATGCTCCCTCCCAGAGCAATTGTGTTGCATGGGAAATGGTGTGAAGGTTCGTTTTCTGCGTGTTTGTTTTTGTTCCTGGGAATTAATCCTTTTATCAACAAAAAGTTGTAATAGAGGCCATTTCTCAGGAGGACATATTTCTGCCATTCTCACCAATAACTTTACTGTTAATCTATATTTGAACCTCCAGGGCTACAAAATCTGGTACTGCATCCTAGTATCATCTTCTTTAATGGATGGATTATTTCTATGTCAGCTGTGGATCTAAGTTTTCAAGTGATCATCTGTGACAATTGGTGTTATTATTCACTCAATGGTCTACAACCCACAAGAGGTCCATAAAGCATGAAAAGGTGATGTGTATAGCAGTGGGAGTTGAAAGTGAAAATCAAAGCAATCCCAGGGGCATACACAGTCACGCCCAGCAGTTAGTAGCAAGCAGGGGTGTGCTAGCTGCACACAGAACCATCTCATAGGTGCAGATCAATGGATACAGCATTGCCTGTTGATTTCTTTCCCCCTAAAGTGTCATTAACTTTTTGGTTATTAGAGAAGCTTGAGAAAAAGTGCTCTAAGGGATGTATTAGACTTCTGAATAGTTTATTTTTACCAATGTGACTGTTTCAATGTCGGAAGATGTTTTTACATATTTGCATATCAGGTTTGGAGTTAACTGATCTGGAGGCTGAACGTGGGTAATTCTGCCTCTTCTTTGAGGTGTTGAGGGAAACTACTTAGCACAGATGCCTGCAGGTAGGCAGCTTGCAGATGGTGGGGTACAGCTGTGTCAGATTTACCTGGCAAAACCACAGCTTCCTTTGATGGCACAGGCAGTCCCTGAAGTGCGCTGGACACTCCGTCTGCCTGGAGGCAGGGACAGCCTCTGTGTCTGCAAATAGCAGTGATGCTCCCATGCCTTTTGCTTGACTGTGCAGTTTGCACAAACTTTGCAAAAAATGTCTTTACAGCTGGTTTACCCAACCAGAGGGGTGTCAAGACTGCTCTTACCTACAGCTACAGTTGTGAGTTGCCTCTACGGTCTTCCAGCAGTCACCAGGGGCCACTGATCCCTTGTGCTGACTAGGACTGCTATTCCTATCTGTTTTAAGCAGGAATTTGTGGACTGTTAGGCACACAATGGTATTGCAAATAACCTACTTTCAGTTACTTTGTAACTGCAAGGAGATACATCTGGCGGTAGTGAGCTTTTTCAACTTGGTGTTTCTCGCAGAATGTTTTGGGGTTTACGTAAACCAAAAAAGTTATTACCTAGTGGGCTTGTCATGCAATGTGCAGTATTGACAACCTTGTGTATGAGAAGATTATGAGAAAAAAAAACAACACAGACCCTTGTTTCACAGTGTTGCTATATTAAAGTGTACTTTTTCTTTTGGCTCTTAATTCTCACCTTTGCTTGCACTCTAGTCACTGTATTTTAAGCAATCCAGTCCTCACAATATGAGGACTAGAAACTCTTTGTTCCCCCTCTGTTCTTTTTCTTCTTTCTTCTTCTTTCTTTATTATCTTATGAAAGGTGAGACTTTTACATAATCACAGGATTCCAAGAACATGAGCCTCCAGAGCAAACAGAAAACCATGCATTCCACTTCATGCATCTTATATATCCATGACTGTCTTACTAAAAATGTGAGCACTGTCACAGCTCTGACTGTGAAGCTTATTCTCTGTTGACAATTTCATTACAAAGAAGAACAAGATTTTTCACTTGAAATATAAGGAAAAAAACTCTGAAAGACTCTCTGCTGGAATTTGAATTTGGCTGCTTTGTGAAAAGCAGTATGAGTAAGCTCAGAACATCTAGAAGTGCTACTTGTGCCACTCCTCAAAACACATCCAATGGACAAAGCTGTTAAACTGCTTAAAATTGAATTAAAATTGGTTAAAATTGAATTAAGATCAACAAGAATCCCCATTAAAGAATTAATTATATAACTGAGCCTAATTGGTGAGAGATTAGTTAACTGTTACATTATACTTGTATAAAACAAGTTCTTGTGCATAAAAAGTTCAGAAGTAGAGGTGCAGGATAAGCAAAGCTTTGAGGACAATTGAGATAGCCAAATTTTTTGCTCTTTTTGACCTGATAAGCTCCTAATAAAAATAATTTTATAGGCCTGTCATGGATTAACCCCAGCCATTAACTGAGCCCCGCACAGCTGTTTACTCTCCACTCTTCCCACCCCCCCTCCCCAGTGGGATGGGGGAGAGAACTGGAAGATTAAAAGTGAGAAAGCTTGTGGGTTGAGATAAAGACAGTTAAATAGCTAAAGCAGAAGACACAAACCCACAGGCAAGCAGAAGAGGAAAACCTTGTGCCTCCCCAACCTTCTCTCTGTTCGGGTTGTGTGAGGAGCAGAAAAGGCCTTGACTCTGTAAGCTCTGCTCAGCAATGATTAACACATCTCTGTATTATCAACACTGTTTGCAGCACAAATCCAAAGCACAGTCCCATGCAAGCTACCATGAAGAAAATTCAGCCAAAACCAGCACAAGATCACATGTTTTGAAGGGTTGCCCTTCACTGACGTATCTGGGATTGTGAGAGATCATTTCAGTAAAATTGTTCTTCAGAGGCAACCAATAACAGCAATGAAATGCAAAGAAAGTTTTAGGAGTGAGATGTATGCAGTCTTTTGCATATATTCACGACTGGGTGGAAAATAAGGCTTCTTGTATGTATAAGAGAATTTTCCCAGATTACAGGTTTTAAGCTGAAATGAAATAAATATGGTATGGTTTTCAAGGATTGTGCCTTAGAAATCTTCCAGGATATTTTTTTATCGAATATATATATATATATGATAATGTTCTAATAAAACAATTGAATACTGGTTTTATTAAAAAAGGAATACGCTGAATTTGAAGTTTTACACCATCTGTAATAACGTTTGGAAAAAGGTTGGAATGCTTTCATTTGAGTAAATATTTAAACAGTTAGGAATTAGTCCTTTTATTTCTGAGTGGAGATGAAACCCCTAAGCTCTTTAACTCATCCTTCAGCCATCAGAAATGAATTGTAGGTCTGCTTTAATGGGTTTATTGCAATTTTTGGTCACAGTTGCATTATGTAAGTGAATGGTGCCAGTTTTTGAACTGCAGAAACATTTAAAACTGGTACAACTTTTTGTGATGAAATTTTATACTTACAAAGCAAAGGACCTCTTTTACAAATATAGCTCTCCTGTGAGATTTTTTTTTTTTTGTAAATTCTGTCTTTGTTTTTCATGTTTTGCAAAACTGTTAGCTTCAAATTTCAGTCCTAACTGAGTTACTCAAATGTTCTGAAGGTTGCAGGAAGTCTATTATATTCCTGGGCCAATATTAGAGAGTAAGAGTGTAAAGGTGAACTGAAAATTATTCAGGCAGGAATACAGCTTGGATGTTTGTCTTAAGGCTTGTCTTTGCAATCCCTTGGTTATTCTTCATCCATGAGAGAATTTGCTCTTGTTAAGTGATAATTCTAAATAGGGTCATTAATTTTGACTTGCAGTTGCAGGCAACTAATCAAATGGGTAAGTAAAAAAGTTAAATGACTATTGTTGGAAGCTTTAACTCTCTCAGGTACAAACACACTCAGATGCTGATTCTCCTATGTACTGACTCAGGCTTTCATTTCTTCCTGTGTCTTGCTTGAGTTTTCTGTTGAATATCTATATATACACAGTTCTGTTCATCTTCCCAGGCTGTGGACAACCTGATGGCTTGTGACCATCATTTGCTATCCACGAAGGCACCAAAGGCTAAATCTGCCCTTGTCCTTCACTGTGCTGAAGGGACTCTGGGTATTTATAATGGAGTATTATAATGTACAGGGATATCCTGGGCTGGGATAAATCGTGCAGCATCTTCTGTAGCATCCCCATCTACAACCTGCTTTTGTAACTCTCTGTATACATCCCCCTACTGTGCTGAGGTGCTCTGTGTGCTGCTGTCTCCCTCGTGCTGCTGTCTCCCTCCCTCCATAAGAGATGCAGCAATTAGAAGAAAACTTGACAATCAATTTAAATAATTTTGAGTAATTAGTGAGACTGAGAGTTGAGAAGAGGGGTGGCAGCTCACAGCCTTCATTCAGAGTGCTGCATTCACTTCTCATTGCTAAATGTCTCACCAAGGCTCTCTGTCCTTCCAGGTTTTCACAGGGAACAGCAATGCTGACAGTGTGGTTCACCACAAGCTGCTGCACTCCATGAAAGCTCGCTTCCTGCGCTTCGTCCCTCTGAAGTGGAATGTTGGTGGGCAGATAGGGCTGAGAGTTGAGGCATTCGGCTGCTCCTATAGTAAGTGGCTACATCTTAACCCACATTTTCTCAAAGAGCTTTTTGTTGATGCTGGTAGTGCTGTTGAAAGGGTGCAGTACAATTTTTATGAGTTAGAATGTAATGTGAAATGCATTTGACATCATTAATTTTTTTCAGTAGTTGTTCTTACCTTTCTGCTCAGGGATGTGCAGGCCCATCAAGCTCAGCTGCTGAAGCTTTCTCAGAGCTGAGCCCACCACAGAGCAATTTGCTGCTTCTTGCAAGTGCAAGGCAGTCAGATGCTGGAAAACCTCCCACCCCACTAGAGGACACAAAGCTAATTGGAATCTTTGTAGGGCTATATTTGTTTAAACTGATCGGTTATGTTTTTAAGGCACGTTAACTAGCTGTTGAGGGAAGTGCTGTGGATTGTGAAGCTAATACTTGTATTTGAGACTGATGATTTTATAGCTCCAGAGTGCAGAGAAATCTGCTGCTGCTCTAACTGCCTTTGCATGAGTGCTTTCTTTGGCCACCATGTGATGATGATCCTTTAAGACATGGTCTGTAGTGCTTTGTCACATGGGCTCTGGAGCAGCCTATAAATGTTTCTGCCGTGGGGCATTTTGGCAACATGTCTTAGTATAGTGCTTCAGATGTATGACCTGTCACCATGGAACAGTGTGAATGTAAAGCAAAAGAAAGCAAAACAGAAGTTCACACATGAGGGAACACAAGTCCAGTTGACATTTATTTCTTAGGTGACTAGTTTTATTTGTGAAATGGTCAAATGTAACTTGAGACACTGCTAGAGACAGGTGAGATATTGCTGGGGAAGAGTTCAGAGAATTAACAGTGTTTTACCAGTAATTTCACTGTGGTATGGCACAAGTCACTATCATTTGACACTTGTACTGGTGCACCTCCTCATTTAGCTTAGTCCTTATCTGTTCTTCCCAGGTGCAGAGAGAGGTTGTAAGAGAATAAGCATAAACATATTTGGGAGACAAATTCATCTGAGCAGAATCAAAGAGAAAAGTTTGTTAAACTTTTTGATTCACATGATACCACCTAAGGAGTCCCTCTGCTGTACCTTTTGCAACAGGACCTGTCTATCTCATATTGGCCTTTTTAGCCACCAGCGCGCTTGTAGCAAATGTGGGTAAAGCCCTTCCCAAATCTTCGTTCGCATAGCCTAGCCATGAATGAATGAACATGATCCCACTGAACAGAGACACAGCTCCAGGACTCTTAGTGGCCTCATCACTGCACTCAGATCTTAGGACTGATTCACAGGGTTTCACAGGAAGATCCTTGTTATGGTCTGTGTGTAGGTCTGTAAGATCCATTTAGCCTCTTTTAAATGCTGCTTCTCCACTTACTTTGATGCTCAGGCACTGGGGACTGTCAATTAAGTACAGACCTGAAACAGTCTGGTCTAGATGCTTTGTCATTAGGGCAAGAGACTTTTTCCAGGTGAACCAGTGAATATGTGAACTGAAACCTATAATTCAAAATCAACTGCCCTTGATGACAATTTCAAAGCTGCCATCTAATCTCTTGTCAAGAGCTTTCTTCTGTTAATAATACCCAAATCTCTGCAGTGAAGAGTATAGTCCAAATAGACCAGGAACAAATAGAACTTGAACTACAGGTTGAAACTTTTGTGGCTGAATTTGTTCTGGTGTTAGTCCATGTGATATACTACAGGAGCACTACTTTCATGTCATATTATTTGTATTTTATATGATACAAAGTAGATTTCAGAGTCACTCATAGGCTGAATTACCTTGTGCTATCATCTAAGTCTTTATCTTTGTCCTGTACCCTGCAGTTACAGGAAATAAAAGTGCTTGTGCAGAATTAAGGTATGAGATTAAAGAAAAGAAATAAAAGGCTTCATAAAAGTTTTACAGAGTGTTGCAATATTTATTCCATTTATATAAATGTGCCATTCAAATTTCTCTCTGGCAAATTACATAGGCCAAGCAATACCTGTTTTACAAGATTTGCTTTCACCATCTTGGCTATTTCTAACCCAGACACTACTGCACTGTACAAAAGATGTTTGGTCATTTATAAAATGTCAACTTTAGTGTTATAATGACAGAATATCTGCTCCTGAGCTGCACTTACGTAACTGCATTTTGTAATGTACTGTTGACAGCACACAGACTCATTCACCATGTTCAATTCTAGCACAAGAAATATATTAATAATCTTTAAAAAAGTTTTTAAAAATTACAAAACCCAAATTACTAGAGACAGGCTGTTGAACAAGCCAGGAAGTAAATTGAGCTTAAAGAACAATCTTGAATGTGCACAATCTTCGTGCAAGTGTCTGTATGTATATGAAAGAAGGTCCATCTGTAAGAGCCTAATTCCCAGTCATCCCCAATTCTCTTTGAGCTGTTGGAATGACTTAAAGGCTTCTATATGTAAGAAAACACTGAGTATTTGATCATAAGTCCACTGAAGTAGAAGGAAGGATTTGCCACAGCATTTTAGTTTTGGATGCAGTCTTAAAGTGTGAGATAAAAAGGAGAATATGTTCATGGAGAACACATGTGAATAAAATTTTTCTCAAATGTACATGTGTGATTGTGGGGTCATTTCTGTTTTTTATTAATATCTGGGGCAGAAAACTGCAGAAACAGTTTTCATTTACAGGTGAGCTGAAAATCATTTTTGTGTGAATGGCACCATTCATTGGTTGGCTAAAACAGAAGTCTGGGGACATGGGCAGGTTAGACTATGTGAATGTCATGTGGTGCTGCACATCTGCTAAACCCTGAAACTACATCCAAACATGCAGCTGAGCACCTGGCTGTGATACACCAAGGTGTGCAAAATAGTATGTGGTTCCTTGGGTGGTCTCTGCTCGCGTCAGCTCCTTTTTGACCTTGCATATTTGAGTAGAAGCTGACAGCTGTAGGAGAGTTTTGTGGCTTCACTGCTACTTTTTAGGTGAATGTGACAGTCTTGTGGCATCTGAAGGCTCTGTTATCTGTGTTTTCTGTGTGTGACTGCCCTCTGCTCAGGAAGTCCCAGGAACACAATCTTGTCCTAATTTTTGCAAACGCAGCTCTCAGTGATGACTGTTTTGTAGGGGGCATGTGGAAGGCATCAGGTCTTGTAGGTCACCAAATATTCTGCCAGGACACAGCAACAAAATAAACTGCATTAGATGCCAAAGTGGCTAACTTAACATGTGATGGCACTGTGCTGATGAATGGCACTTGCCATTGCTTATTGCTCCTGTTGCTCCTGCTAGAAATAATTTACTATGAATTCATTCCCAAAACCTCCCTGTCAAACAACAAGCTTTGTTGCTTTTTTTTTTCTTTTAACCTTTTCCCTTTTTCTTTTCTCTCTTTAATTGGGTGCCAATTGACATTGTTTCTCTGGAATATAAAACATGTTTTTAACAGTAAAGTTATCTCAGACTGTAATTATGCCTGATTCTATCCTATACAAATCGAAGTTCCTATGAGTAAAGCCCTCCAAGACCCTCATATAAGCTGGAATTCACAGATAATATGTGCTAATTGTTGTACACTTTCTTACAGAGAAAGCATATATTTAAATGAACGTTAACTACATTTATTAGAAATTCCTGTAAAGATTCCATCTTACATCCTCAAAATAGGTTCTGAAATAGGAAGATGATCTTGATCTGAAAACATATACCGATGTTTCATGTTCAGAAAAGGATTTGTGATGAGTTGAATGGAAAGTTCCATGCAGAAGTGTGGGGAAGCTGTCCCTTTGCAGTAGTTGGTTCAGCAGTGTTATTGTAACAGATAAGAAGAGCTGCAGCAGAGGATGTGCTCAGACAAATGGCAAACCAATTGCTTTTGATGCTGCGGGTGGCAAGGGGTGACAAGTATAACTTTATACTTGGGAAAAGTCTTGTTAGCTTAGCACAGGAAAAAAAATCTGCTGACACAATTGCTTTTATAGGATAAGATATATAGCCGCATTGAAGATGCTGATCATATTCTATAACTGGTTAACAGCATCAGCAGAATTGGGTATATGTTAACTTAATAGGCTGGGATACTACAGGAGAAAGAAACAATGATAGGCTGTGAGACAGGGTGTCTTTTGCTTTTGAGAGCAAAGTTCTTCATTTGCCGTTCAGGACTCTGATTTCTCGTATTTTGCTGTCATTGCTTTAGGGAATATGATCTGATATTGTGCTTTTTGATTAAATGGCACTTTTACTGGATCTATTTTCTTTCTCTTTTTCTTCTTTTTTTTTTTTTTTTCCCCACCTTCCTCCATTCTCTCCCTTGTCTTCCTATGAGATAGAAAAGAACTCATTGTGGAGAACTGCTTAACATCTCATTGTCATTAACAAGTAGTGTTTGTAATCAAATGCATACGGTAAATACCCAAACAATTGCTTACCAAGAAGCATAGATCTGTGATAGGGATAAAGCTGCATAGCAGAGCAGTCACCTCTGAAGTGCTTGTTCCATGTTCATCCCTTGGGTTGCATGTCTGAGCCGGATTTGGAGAGGGAGCTAGAGATTGCTGTTGGGTCACTCAAGCCAGTAAGCCATGACCGGCCAGAGGAGACATCTGTTCAGACCAGGAGCAGTCCTTTTCCCTTCTGCCAGAAGTTAAAGCTTCTGATCACCGGTGGAAGTGCAAGACCAAAAATTCCTGTCTCACATGGCAACTGTTCCTAAAGTTATTCCTGTTGTAGAATATCTTTGCTACATAAGTGTTCACCTTTTCCAAAATCACTAAGAGGACTGTCTCTTTTAGTATGAATGTATATCCTCTCTACTGGGAGCAGATTGCTGCACAGGTAAACTCTATGCTCTCATATTGTTCCCAACCTGTCAACAGCCTTGTTGATGAGGACGGTGTAGAAAAGACCCAGACTGAGTAAAATTTGTCTTCAGGGAGCTTAAGTAAACCAGCAGGCAGTGCAGAATGAAATCACATGTTGTGTTTTAGTTTGTTATTACTACAGTTTTTCTGAAAATTGAAACATTTTTGATCCTCATTCTCTTGCTGCAAGTGGATTATGGACATACATGGACTAAATAAACACTAAGTGAACACTAAGCAGGTTTTCTGGAGTGGCTGTTTTTAACAAGAAGTCAAAGATTTGTTGTCATGTAAACTGCCACTAATGACTTTTTCGCTGCAGGATTAGCATTTATCTGACATCTTTAGCATTTATCTGACATCTTCCTATTCAGGGCTATTTATTGGCCAGGGTGCTCACAACGGATAATTAGTGGAGGAGAACTTTTCAGAAGCAGGTTTTCCTTTGTGTTATACTCTGTAAATGTCAGTAGTAGAGCTCTTCAAGAAATCATATTATTCTGTGCCTTAGTGGAGAGTTAAGAACAGGGACTGAACTGTGTGAATTGAGACTGGTTGAAGTCTTGGATCTTAAGAAGAAGAAAAAAGGGCTGTTCTTAGGGCAACATTGAATCAGTGCACTCTTATAGTATCTTTGTTTTTGAGAGATAGGAGGAAAATCAACTTTTAACTGCAAAATGCTCTGGAAATCAAAGACTGTAAATTCTTTATAAGCTATTTCCTAACTCCTGCCTGTTTTAAGATGGAATCATTTTTATAGTACACTTGTGATTTACTTTAAACAAATTGAAACATTTAATGTACTTAGGGGAAATTCATAAAAAACTAAACTAAAAATTTAATTACCGTTATAGAAACTGGCATTCAAGGTGTCAATAGAGAGAAATCAGAAATTCTGAAGGAGCTGTTTCTGAACACCTAATTCAGAAGTTAATAACAATAAAAGCAGATGGCATGAATATTCATGATACTTCCTAAACTAGCAACTGTTCCACAAATTATGCTAAACAGCATGTTACAATTCTGCCATCACAGATAAGAAATTGGTCTTAGTTTATTCTGGAGTGAACTTGCTACAGGATTTAGTTTCTTTGTAGTTTTATTCTCTTAAAAAATAATCAGTTGCCTTCTAATTTGGAATGAAGTCAGTTTTGGAGTTACAGAATTTTGCATCAAATTTAAATGTTGAGCTCCCTGCAAGTTTGTAAGTGTGCCATCAAACTTCTGTACAAACTGTCATACTGACAGGCAGAAGTTTTTGATGGTAGTTTCCATGGTAACAAATCATTAACAGGTGTTTTATTTTTTGAGCTTATAATAGTTTTTAACTGCAAACCTCTTTAAATTTTGGTCCAGTTAAAAAAAAAAAAGGGAGAAAAAAGTTTGACCCCCCCCAGGTCCTATTATTTCTGTTTTTTAAAGAGAAGAAGATGAAACTACTGTTAATGCCTAAAAGGATAGAAGAACTCTCAAGGGAGATTAGATGACTTAAATCACTGACTTTATTCACAATACAGTTGCTGAATGGAATCCTTGATTGTGTAGACCTTTCAGTTATTTTTCAGAAGGAAGTGGAAAACTGATAGTTTTGGGTTATCATTAAAACATGTGGTTTGCAAACAAAGATAGTCTATGCTCTTTCTTCTTGGATACTAGGAAGGTGTTATTTGTCTTTGTGCATGTATCCCAGCAGTTATGTGGCTTAGTAAACCTCTGGTCAGATTTTTCATTGTCTGGTGTTATTAATTTTTAATATTTTTCTTAACAACAGGAAATACCAATTGACAAAGTTATCATTTACAAGTAGGTATTTTATGTGTCAAACTGCAGTTGGATAGAAATTGGAATGGAATTTATGTATGTCAGATGTTTGTATACAACATATTAATTAAAAGTATTTAAAGCTACCTAAAATATTCTGGTTATATATACACATATATATATTAGAAATTTATTAAAAAATACATTTTGCTTAAAAGACCACTTTATAAAGTGAAGAGAGTACTGCAGGCTGCTGCTGCCAAAGAAAATATTAATTGCAATTGAGGACTTGAAGGTTTGTTTCCTACCACAGTGATTAGGTTTTTAGAGGCTGAGTGAAGGGGAAAATATGTTTCTAATACGATTTTCAAAGGTGTATAATCAGTTTAGATGCCCAGTTCCCATGAAATCCTTTCAAAAGCTTTTTGAATTGATATTTGACTATTCCTGCCAGCCTACTGAATTTACATGCAGAAACATGGTTGATAAATGCCCATCACAAGCAAGCAGCCAACCCTCAGAGGCTAAGATAATGCTTATTTGAGTGCAGAGGTGGGTGCAGTCATGGCTGACATGCAGGACCGGCTCAACAGACACTTGTCAAGCTATGAAAGTGGAGTGAGTACTGAAGTGTTTAAACTAATGAATAACATTCTGAATGTAGTTGACATGAACAGCAAATGTGGCAAGGAATGCTCTGGAAATCTGAATATGATGGAAGGCACCTCTTATGTTCCAAAAAGTTAAATGAGACAGAAGTCTTGCATGCGGCAGTCAGGCACAGAGGAGTTCTGGTTTTATCCTGGTGTTCCCTTTCCCCAGAGAGAGGGAGAGGACTGGAGATGGATGAGCTGTGGTTGCCCAAATAACTCATATGTCCTGTGGATAAATGCTTATGACAATACCTGGCTCCAAGGCGTCTTTGAAAAGATTCTGAAAAAAATATGGTCCCTCTCCTGATGCTGCCCCTCCTTGTCATTTTCTTTCTTCCAGAGTCAGATATTGCAGACTTCGATGGCAGAAGTTCACTTCTCTACAGGTTCAATCAGAAGCTTATGAGCACATTCAAAGATGTGGTTTCCTTGAAGTTCAAGAGCATGCAGGGGGATGGAGTCTTATTCCATGGAGAAGGACAGCGTGGAGACTACATTACCTTGGAACTTCAGAAAGGGAAGCTCTCCTTGCACATCAACCTGGGTAAGGGTAATTAGGGTTACTGGTTCGCATGTTACTGATCAAGGACTGTCTTGGTTTGTTTTTATAAATCTATTGTTTCTATTGGACAGTATCTGGAAGCTCTAGCTGGTATCAACATAACATGCTACATGCCTTAGACAGCTCACAGCTAAAGTAGCGCTTGGAAAAGTTGAGAGAGGAAGCAAAAGAGAATAGATTTGACTGATGTCATGCAGAACATGGTAGCTGAGCCAAGAAGGTACCTTGGCTCTTCTGACTAGTGCTGACCAAGGCTGAACTGCTCAGTGACTACTTTTGACCTCTGTTTGCTGATGCTTTCAGGCAGTGATTTAAAAAAAAAACAACAAAAAACCCCATGAAAAGTTTTGATTCTTTCCCTACCTCCTTTTTTCAGTTGTCGTTGTTTTTTGGTTTTGTTTTTTTTTGAGGGGGAGGCGTATTATTTTTATGAATATCATTCCCAGAAAGTTTGCTGTGGAGTACAAAAGGTTTATTGTTGGTTTGTGTCTAATTTTTTCCATTCACTCATTGATTCAGAACTGAGCTGAGAATATAGAATTTTAATGAAAACATTCCAGTTGAAAGATTGTGCACACTGTTATAACTTTCCTTCCTGAAAACTATGAATAGCTGTAAGGCTATCACCGTATGATCATGTTGGATAAGAGTGACAGATGAAAGGCTGGCTTAATTTCTCCCTTGCTTGATTTTTTCCTGATTAATACACTAAAGCACTTCGATAGTGGCAGGAGCTACTGCAGTAGGAATTATCATACCCCCTCTCCCAGCCTTCTTGCAGAATCTTCACAAGCTTCATCTGTGGGTGACCCGTGGCACTGGCCTCAGCAGTCTCTAATGACTCATATTTCTCATAGTGAGGGGTTTGAGTTAGGCACTTTTCCCCTTGTGCTTAATTATGTTTGTTTTAAAAGTCAGTAACGATTTTCCACAGCTGTTGGACTTTATTTTTACATAAGCTCATTAATTGTTTAGTCTCCAATTTGTGTTTTCTTTCTTTCTTTTTTCATCAAAGAGTAGAAATGATAATGCAGCATTTTTTTGATTTGGGATTTGGATGTTATGTGGACCAAGTAGCTGCATCCTGAACCTCTGAATGTGGGAATCTTTGAGTCTATTGATTTGTTCTCCTCTTACGAATGTTTCATATTAGGATAAGAATATAGTACTCTTAATTATATTATGTAACTTCTTCCAGAGGAGATACTGTTATGAATACATATTCTGAGATTAGTTGTTTTTTTTTCTTCACCCATAGCCCCAAATATACAGTTTTAGCCATTTTAAGTTCTCTGTGTGCATTCATATGTCACGAGGAAGGGTTTTGTTATCTGCTCTTCAATCTTCTTGCAGCTTGCCTGGCAGTGTTGGAGCATGTATTCTCTCCATTCTGCTGGAATATCAAAAAGGATACATACTCCCTTTCAATGAGAGGCTCTGAAGTGTTCAGATGTGTAGCCAGCTGGAAAACACAAGAGTGCTTGAAATTATTGAGTTAAAGCTTAAATATTTTTATGATTCTTGATCTATACTTTTGGAGATCTGGGCCAGGTTTAAGAACATTTTTGAACTGAACAAAACACTTTGCACTCTTTTTGCCTCACTGACTTGTGCCTTTCTTTTTTTCTGTGAAAATGGACAGGTGCAATTTTCTTGTTAAAATACAGAAAGGACATAGTTGACACTCAAGTGTCAGGAGTGGTCTGTTAATGTGACTAGACAGGAGATTTTGGTGCTGTGTGAAGGAAGCTCTTAAACCACAGGGGCATCAAATGCATGGCAGAACCAAGAGTACAGGCAGAGCAGTTATCCCATGTGCAGCAATGTGTGGGTGCAGCATCACTACCACCTCCTGGTTCACCACAAGGATTTCATGGCAAAAAAAAATGTGTGCCTATGGGCATACATACATATATGTGAATAAGAGGCCCAAAGAATCTAAGGCAATCTTTGGGAAGGGCTGTTTCCAATTTGCAGAGCTCCAGTTTGCATCTGGGAGCTCTGCTCTTTTCTCCCCTTGAGTTCCCAGGCTTCAGTTAAAGGGCCTGGAGGTAACTCTGGTCTCTTCTGCCTGTCTATGCCACTCCAGGGGACTCCAACCTGCACTTCAGTAACAGCCACACATCTGTCACCCTGGGCAGCCTCCTGGATGACCAGCACTGGCACTCGGTTCTCATAGAACGCTTCAACAAGCAAGTGAACTTCACAGTGGACAAGCACACCCAACATTTCCGAACGAAGGGGGATTCAGATCACTTGGATATTGATTATGAGGTGTGTGAAGCCCTTTAGGTTATAACCTGGGAAATGAGGTATGAATTTTGGTATAAAATGAATATGATGGAAAGCAACCACTCTATGAGCTGTTTCTTTCCAGCAAAGATCTTTATTTAATACTTTCTTTCCAGAGAGAGTTCTTTCATACTTCACAAGCATAAACTATGCCAGTGCAGAAAATGACCAGTTTCTGTGCAAATATGCATTGGATTATGCTTACACTTCGAAGTACAGCAGACTTTGAACTAAATGAAAAGTTATAGCCCAGGTTGTAGTCAAATCTTCAGGGAGCAAATGCCCTTATCTGTAGGGAGAGGTGCTGTGTCATCATCTCCAATACGATTTTGTTTGCACATTATGCACCATTCCTGCATTTGATTGACATGACCATGGGGATACCAGCCCTGAGTTGTCCCTCTATCCAACCACAGCTTGGCTTGGATTACAGTGCTCCAAATAGAGATGAGCAGGTAAAAACTATTGTTTTCCCACTAGGAATGGAAGACCCTCAGAATGAAAGGGTGTTGTAGCTAGGTGGAAATCATTCTCTTCTCCCAGGTAACAAAGGACAGAATGAGAGGAAATGGCCTCAGTTGTGCCAGGGTCTGTTTAAATTTAATAGTAGGAAAAACTTACTTTCTGAAAGGGGATCAGACATTGGAATAGGCTTCCCAGGGAAGTGGTGGAATCATCGCCCTGGAAGTGTTCCAAAGGTATGTGGATGTAGCACTTGGGATATGGTTTAGTCATAAACACAGTGGTGCTGGGTTGGATTTGATCTCAGAGGTTTTTTCCAGCCTTAGTGATTCTATGATTCTGTGACTTTCATAACAACTAGCTCTGACCCAGGTCCCTTCATATCTGGGGTTTTGCTGCAGAGCATCCTGATCTAGGGAGCCAGAGCAACTCAGCCAAGGAAGGACTGAGCAGAGGAAATATCCTGCCTGCCCACAAGCCCCAAGGCTGCTGTGCTCCCCTTTGATGAGACCAAGATGTGGCAGAGTGCAGTTTATATCACTCCAGCAGTTCAGTGCTCATGGCTGACAGCTTATAAAAAAAAACCCTTAAAAAAATTATGTATCATCATATCTATATGCAAGGCAGTTCCTCATCCATTCCCCCCAAAAATGCACACTTGTGTGCAAATTACACATGTTCATTTTTGTCCCCCTGTGCTTGTCTGCCAAGTCTCCATCACCCACAAGGCACAGGGTTGTGCTGACACAGTCAGAGCCATCACCCTGTCAAGATGTGTTGAGCTGGCATGGTTCATTGCTTAAGAGACCACAGGTTTCCTCTCTGCACTTTGAATTCTTTTCTCTGGGAAGAATCATTTCCCAGCACACCAAAGGGAAAAAAGCAGATGTCTCGGCAGCAGCAGGTGCCTGCTCTCTCCTTTCAACTTCCAGCTGAAATTCCCTTCTTTGCATTTCACAAAGCAGGATGGAGAGAATGGTACCTGTCCCATGGCACTGCTGTATCAAATCATGAGCACATTTAATAGGGACAGCACATTTGAGCATTGGGATTCTGCAACAGCTTCAGACTGAACCATCAGGGGCTAAAGCTGTAACTGCTTTTAAGATGGGTTTGAGGAAAGCCAAATGATTGATTCATCAGCTTTCCTAATTTCAAATTAATAAAATTCCTTGCTTCCTGCTTGATGTTGATTAGGGGAAACTCAAGCTCCAATTTAATTTGTAGAATACTTTTTCCACATATTCCAAAATAAGGAGCTTGATAGAAAAGTTCTTCAGCTGGTGTTAATCAGCATCACCACTGACCTCTGTAGCACTCAGACCTGGTCTCTGGTGCTTAGTTTTTCACAGTGTGTTTTTTCTCCATTTGCACTGGACAATCTTTCAGTCAAACATTACAGCAATACAGGCTACTGAAAGTTTATCTCAGCACACTTTAGGGATTAAAGGTCTTACTGAGGGTAGTAAAACCATTACTTTTGTAATTAAAATTATTACCAATCACAAAGGAAACTGTTTTCTTAATAATGCAGTGGTGTAATTGATATTGATTTTTCTTCTGGTTTTGAAACTCCAGTACAGAGTCCCTAAGCAGGGAACTTTAAGAATAGAACATGAAAGAAAGAAAGTCTGCTGTTTTAGGAGGAACTAATGATTCTCACTGGAAAAAAAATTGCTACCACAGAAGCCCTCATGCCAATAACAAACCTGCAAGTAGCAGTCTGTTCCCTCTATTTCTCTGAAGTAATCAATTAATACAACTGAGGTGCAAGTTCATTAAGGACTTGTTTTCAAATAAGTGCTTTCAAGGTTACCCAGGGAGATTTCATTTGCTCATGTATCCCAGCTTGTTATGTAGAGTGGAATGGAAAATAACACCCAAATTTCCCTTTATTTTTGTAATAATGAAATGAAGTAAGGCATTAGGAGTTGTGACAGAGAAATAAGGTTGACCAGGTTCCAGCCGCTGTCAGCATGTAGAGCAGTGCCACACAGTGCCTGCCCTTGCTGCAGTGGATGCAGCAGGACTGCAGCACATCTTCTGTCAAGTGCGGTGGCTGTAGGATCCTCACCTGCATTATCACACTCACAGTGCTGCTGACTGTGATGGGAAAAATGAATAAAACCCGAGTAGTACCACCAGTAAGGTTTTGCCAGAAAGGTTGGTAGAATTCATTAGAAATGAGCACTGACATTCGGAAAATGAAGGTAGGATTGTCAGAGGGTTTTTGGGTTCTGGGGTTTGGGAGCTGTTTTTGTTTTTTTCTTTTCTTTGTATTCTAGGCAATTATGCTGGATTTTGGAAGCTTTATTTTCTTAGGCTCTTTGTTCTCCTAGGGTTTCAACCCTCCAGTTGAGTGATGAGTCGTAGCCTGCACAGTACTAACATCTGCCAATACTTAGACAACAACTCAGCAGAAGTTTTGTGCAAATGTGTAACCTGCAGAGCTTCTTCATGACACTGCTCAGTTCCAAATGCCACATGTGACTATTGTAAAGGCCAAAGAACAATGAAATTTAGGGAAAACGAATACAAGCTACAAATGGGATATTTTGTGTTTGTGATACTACCCTCCACTGGCTGAAACAAAAATTGTTCAGATGCATGACTGGTAGAAAGGGGTGAGCCCAGCTCACAGGCAAATCCAGTGCTCTGTGGGCAGGGAGAATTTATTCCCCCATTGCTGAGCAGTTCCTTGGGCTGCAGCTGGGTGTCATCCTTCAGGACAGTGGGGCTGTAATTTGGACACTGTGTGAACATTTCCTTGGGTGTTCTGTGTTCCTGAGTGGGTAGCTGGTGACACCAGGTTGGTGTGTTAAGGCACTTCAGAGCTTTCCAAGTCAGTGAGTTGTCTGCTGCAGAGGTGTTTCTCCAGCAGCTGTAATGCTATGGGGGCTGTGATTCCCTCTGTGGGGTGGCCAGGTCCTGCTTCATGCTCCCAAGTGCCTCTGTTGATGTGAACTTTTTCTTAGATAATATCCCAGCTGGATGCATGAAGTGGGGCTCTGCTGTCTTGGTTTTGGGATGATAATATAATATATACAAAAATATAAATATATATATATATTATAATATTATAAATAATACTGTTCTTATTCTTTCCAAAAGCTCAGTTTTGGAGGTATTCCTGTACCAGGGAAACCAGGAACCTTTCAGAGGAAAAATTTCCACGGGTGCATTGAGAACCTTTATTACAACGGAGTCAATATAATTGACCTGGCAAAAAGGCGCAAACCTCAGATCTATACTGTGGTAAGAGGCAATACTGCATGCTTTCCTTCTTTGCTTCCATGCTGTTGGTGCTCTCTTGGTGCTGCTGGCTGCACTGAATGATCAGAGTTCAGATTTAGATAGCTATGGGCGTAATTAGCTTGTTAAAATGAGGATAACACCAGCCAGTGCCGACTCCTGTGGTGAGAGTTATTGAAAGACACATGTGGAAATTAATGCATTTCTCTGACTTTCCAGGTGTATTAGAAATTGCTTGGAGAAACTTTTTAATTAATTTTCCAAGATTAAAATGTATATTTTTGATGGCATGATAGAAATCATAGAGGGTTTTTTTTCTGGTTAACTCAGATTAAGTCTCATTTTCTAAATCATTTTCTCTCACTGTTGAGTAGTACAGTAGTAGCAAAATTTTACTCTTATATTTAAGTTCACATTATAGAGAAGATATAAATGTTTCTTTTATTATTGGAAATAGTTTCCTTTGTGCTGTTTCTTATAGTCAATATATTGACACTTCTGAGAAGCGTTGATCTGGTACTAGTGTCTCTAAATGTGGGGGCTAAAACTAGAGGAACTATTGTCTTATCCACCTTGCTAACAAAAAACCACAAATGCAACTTCACACCTAATAATATCCAAAATTACAAATATATTTAAATGTATTATGAACAAGATAAGGAGCATTTTATTTTGCAAGAAGAGGGAACTTCCATTTTGCAAGAAGAGCTGCACTTCCATCCAGCCTTGACAAACTGTAAATAATTCAGCTCTCTGTTTAGCTTGTGCCTCACTCCATGCTTTAATACGTGCCTTTTGGCTAATACTGTGTCTTTGGAGAACGTGGAGGTGAAACTTCTTCTGGCTCTCATGGTATCTTCTAGTTTGTAGTAGTGTATATGAACATGCTGAACCTAAAACAAAGCAAGCCAGAAGACCAAAGAAATTCTTTCTGCACCTTCCCTGCCTAGGGCAAGGCTGAATACACAGAGAAATAGAAAATGGAAAGGTGATGGGTGAGAAGTCCTGCATTGTGTTGCTGGTAGTCAAGACTGCCTCCAGGATGCTCCTCTGGGACTGAGAGACTTTGCTTTATTAATCTAGATTTTGATGTTATGAGTGAGGACTCAAAAGGCTCAAGTCTTATGAACTGTGTTAAATTTCTCTTCCCCTCAGCTTACTTTCTAAGGGGGAAGCAAAGAGCCCTTGTCTGCTTCTTAGGTCATTAAACAGCTGGTTGTTTTGCTGCTGGAAAATGGGAAGGCCTTTCTAAACGGAAAGAGAAAAATTTTCAATGCACTTTTTCTCTGAATAGCATTGTCTGGGTATAAGTGGCCTCAAGCAACGAAACTCCGTTATTGCAATACTTGGCTCAATCTCAGAATCCGTCTCCTCAATGTAAGGGAGTGGGGATGTGCCTCCATTTTTCAATCTCTTTCACATAATGCCATAGTTTTCAAAGCCTGACTGCTGTACTGCATTTCTCAAGGTCTATGAGGCTCTGTGCACAGTTTCTGTGACACTTGTGTATGCAAAATGCATGGAAAGGTTGCCACACTTAACGGTACATCACAATCTTAGATGAACACCCTTCTATGAGAAATGGTCCATGTAAATTTGTTCTTCAACCTTCTTTGCATCACAGCTATTTCTCTCCTCTGGCAATGCTCATGTTCTTCTAGGTTACACAGGATCTTCCTTTGCCATCTTCTGCTCTTCGCCACTCCTTAGCAATTAACTTACTCAAATTAAAATAACTTGTTCTAGCTAAATGGAGTCTTTTACCTGCCAGAGTTACTCTGCACTAAATGCTTTTACTCCAAGCACGTTGAGGTTGTCATGCAACCAGCCATATCCCCAGGGAGCTGCAAGCTTCTCTGCTTCATGTCTTTGTAGTTGGTAAGGTTGTCTGGAGTGAAAATGCGATGAAAGAAAAGGCACAGAAAAATAATTAAATGTAGCAGGGACTTGAAATCACTTTTTCCAAAAATGTGTTGTATACTTGTGTTCTCTCCCCAGCTTTGGAGACCATCAGGGATAGTTCTGCATTGTTAGTCCCCAAAATACCTTTGTCTCCCAGGAAAAGATAATTGAGGACAAACTGGTTAGTGTGGGATTAGAAAGCCATTAATGCTTAGAAACACCAGCTTTGTCCTCCAAAGGCAGGCAGGCTTCAACACTCAGTCTCTGTTTCACTCTATGCCTTTGTGAATGTTAACGCAGTCAGTGAGCCAAACTTGTGGGTTTTCATACCCATCAGCTCTGTTTTGTTTTTTTTTTGTTGGTTTTTTTTTTTTTTACTGTTGACATCTTTCACACAAGCAGCTGAATGATACATCAGCTTTGGAGGTATAGATTTCCTCTTATGATATAGTTCCTCATCCATATAAATAATGGTCTCAAATCAGCTGCATTTAGTTAGAGGAAGAAACTACAGGTTGTCAATAACAGATTACTGCAGTATGTATTGTACTCTTGGGTGGTGGCTGTGATTATCATTCTGCCTGTTCTTTTCTGTAACTCATTTGCACTTGTCAGAGTTGCAATAAAACCCCTTGAGAAGGGATCTCAAGATAACGAGGCAGTGTGTCTCTTAGAACTGAAACTTGCCTTCAGAATTCCATTTTTATATTGCCTGATACTTAACCTCTCTGCATGACCCTGTCTGTTTGGACAGGATATCTGTCTACTCTCTGGGGTTTCTTTTGTCCCTGATGGCATGTTGTGGGCTTTTTTTTTTCATGGGGGGGGGATAGCATCAGGGAAAGTGTTTTGGGTTCTTTGTTTGGGTTTTCTTTATGTTGTGTGTGTTTCAGTTTGGTTGTTTGTTTGTTTGTTTGTGGGTTCGGTTTGGTTTGGTTTGGTTTTTCCTTCCCCTAGGTCACTGAGCATAGAGGAGTAATAGGGGATCTTTTATGTGCTTTCCAAAGTGATTACTGGTTTTAATGTCAAGTGGTCAAATTTCTGTAATTGCCACTGTCAGAGTTTACAGCAGTTACTTGTCCTTCTTGGGCAATTAGTTAGGGGCAGGAAAATATGCACGTAAGAGCCACATTTACAAAAAGCAGAAGAGAACTGTTCTTCCCAGAAGGAAACTTGGCCTGCTGATATCTGGGATGGAGAAGTCCTCATTGAAGGGTTTTTTTCTTAAGAGTGTATGTAGATGTAGGAGGAGATGCAACAAGTTCTAGGAAGAGAAACCTATTGAGAATTGCTAAATACATCTCGTTAATGGAGTAGATGAGAGAAAAGATACCTATAACATCCTGAAAATAGCTATAGGATCCTGGCCACCAGTGTTTACCTACTGCTAGATTCAGGCTGCACCTTTAGAAATCGCTCAAATGTGACCTGTGACCAGCTTTTTAAGTCTTTTTGTGCTTCACTGATTTGTGATGTCAAAATAGGAAGTTGTCTAGCCGATGAAAATAAATTAAGAGGTCATGAAAAGATGCTGTGTTTTATCTTGTGTTTCACTCTACTTACTGAAATTAAGAAAAGCACAATCTCCCTTTCTCTTCCATTACCTCTGGCTGTATTTGAAATTGAAGCTGTATTTTTATTTAGCAGAGCAAACCCTGTGCTGACTTGAGAAGAGTGCAGGATATTTGTAAGGCAGAAGTTGTCAGCCCTCAGATATGCTTGAATTTCTACTCTGGCCTGCCATGTTGAATCTGGGAGTGACAGTTCAGCACAGCAAGGGATGTGGTGACATGTAAATGTATCACTGTAGTGCCTTGGGGAAATAACCAATTGCCAGCATCAAAGAGCAAGGAAAGATACTTAGTGACAGAAGAATGTAAACTAATAATTCATTCCCTTTATAGAGAATCCAAACATGCTATTTTATTAAGCATCCTGAGAAGCATTTACTTGTCTATGCCTGTCTCGTTCTACCAAAGTGCTATTGCAAGTGTTGATCTATCTTTGAATATCAGGCTGGTGATTTGTGAAGGCCTCTACTAGGATTTGAAGAATCAGGACTTAGATTTTTTTTCTTAGTTTTTGCACTGCAGTCAGACTATAGGAATCATAAATAAAAAATGTTGGAAATGCTTAGTGACAACTTCCTAAGGACTAAATCAAACTTCTAAAAAAAAAAAAAGTTTTATTCAGTTATTTAATAAAAGTTTTGAGTCACACAATTAGAAAGAGAACTGAATTTACTGGATTTTAGGTAGGGCAGGTGAACTCAGATTCCAGAAATATTTGGTTCCTGTAAAAATAGCTTTTTATATTTTCTTCTGTGTCCCTTTCTGCTCTCTGGGTCTTCAGATGAGTCTCCTTCACATTCTACCTGTAGTGTGGAGTAGCAAGGAAGTCTATAGAAATAGCATTCATTTTAAGGTCACATTTTATTGTTGCTGAATGATATAACAGGATTATTTTGAAAGAAATTAGGTATGTCACCTCAGTTAAGGTCTTGAAATAAAGTCTGTTTAAATGACATTTTTCCTATTGATTTCAGTTGGCTTTGTCTACAATTCTAGAGTTTCAGAGTGCAAATATATAATCCAGCACACACCTGTAATAATAAACTCTCTTTGATATAAAAGTTTTTTTTGTGTTAGGATTTTGATAGTTGTGATGACAAGTAAAGCAAGACTTTTGAGAGAGACCATATTTTTTAATAAGACTAGTCAACATGCAGAAAAAAATGACATGTTTCTGAGCAAATAAGGTCTTTTTGAGAGTCATCAGCCTTCAGCAAATTACAGGTTAGAAACAATTGTTCTAATAAATAAAACAAGGGGTTTATTTATTACATTATCTGGATAGTCAAATTGAATGAATAGGGCAGTTAGTACCTGCTGAGTGGAGCAGGATATTTCAAGGTGGGACGTGATAAGGCAGTTAGTCCCTGTAGGAGAGGAAGAGAGATGGTTAATTATTGTCAGAGGAGTTAGCAGGGAAAAAGGAAAATGGGATGGAATGCAATTTGCTTCAAAGCCAAGGCTTTAATGTATTTTGTAAGGTCTTATTTCAATTGGTAAGGCCTTGGGAACTACTTGGTACTTGGCTAC